TTACTTTTGGCTGGGAAAACAATAAAAAAGGATGTTGTGACCTTAACTGATATTTGAAGGCACTCATCCTTCAAGTAATCCATCTTCCGGGGCTGGGGGGGGGGGCGGTGACTTCCCCGGTGAATCTGTCAGCAGTCGGCTGCTGGGTCTCTGACTCTGTGGTGCCACACAGGGACACACATTCAGACGAGGACTACAAGTACGCTGAGAGGTAGAACATGGCGTGGAAGAACCTGATATATCCTCCCGTCCTATTATAAGCCTGTAGAGGTTTTGCATAATCCAGGTAACAAAGGTGCTTAGTGGCGGTCGCCTCAGGCCGGATGATCAGACTGAGAAACGATAAACCTCCGCAGAAACTCCCAGAGACTTGACATTCCAGCAGCTGTCAGATGCTCTAAATAACAAAATATGCATTTGTTTGTGTTTACTCCTTTTTTATCCTTCAAAAAAAACAGATATGGATGCAGTCGAAAGGGGAAACATGGAGGGACTCTACATATAAATATCCCTGGCGGTCAGATTGCCGGTCAGAGAGAGGGAGGTGAGATTCCCTCCATCCTTTGCCAAGCAGTTTGGTTATGCCGCATGCTGCATACATCGCAGCGAGTTCCTGGAAGGATCTCTGTGGAGCACTAGGAAGCCTTGCAAGACAAATGGGACCATCGAGACCCTCCTTTGCTCTATAATGAATAATCTCCCAGAGGGAGAAACATGGAGACCGTCACAGGACATGGGGCAGAGGACACCTGGGGTGGCACAAATTTGTTTATTTTGCTGATGCATCATCCCAAGCGACATACAGGAAAAAAGCTTTGGGTCAGAGCAACAAAAGCAAATCGCTTTTGAAACCTCACACAGTGAGGCTGGGGCTGCATTTTAACTCCCAAACTTAGCAGGTAGCCTCATGACACACACCCCTACACCGCTGTGCTGTTCTCCCGCTGATGGAATCTAATCCTAACTTACTTAAATACGCTTATGTAACTGCGAGCTTATTGCCAAACCTCGGGCAACTTTGTCTCTGATCATATCTGAACAGGAACCCAGATTGTTTTCATGTGGAACCACATCCATCCATCCATCATTATATTTACATTTACATATTTAGTATATGCTTTTGTCCAATGTGACTTACAAGCGAGGCAAATAGCACATTACAAGCATACATGCTATCAAGGATGAACTAGGCGTAAGTGCAGCTGGGCTGACCTTCCTG